ACTTGTCACTTTAAAGTAAAGCTCTTGGTGATACACATATCGTATCACTTCAATACATGTATGTTGTGAAGTACATTGTAATGGAGAGGCATTGTACTGGACATATATCTTTGATCGTATTGGAAGAACACGTTTTGTCATTTTAATACAAAGTAACAAAAAGAAATTATTTAAATTTCTAAGATACTTAACATATGGCAATGTCGTATTTCTTCAATTTCATTCGTATATTTCTTTAATTCATCCTTATACTTTTGTATTTGCAGTCATCTCTTCCGGGATATTTGGCAGCATTGTATTTGTGTATTTATTCATTTCATTTGTGTGTGATATCATTTCGAATATGACATCATGTCATTCGTACTTTCCATTATTTCATTAATACAGTTTGCTGGGTCTTTGAGACAACACGTTACATACGCACAGTCGCCATTCGCTAATGATGCATTTGACTTATCACCCATTTGTGAACGACTTCGGCTTTTTTCATAGTATTTCACCGCGCCTTTTACAAATCTTCTGCAAAAACAAATAATGCGGACAACTCAGTCCGATCATCGTATGTTTGAGAGTAACATATAGCAGAACAAACTCCAGTTTTCGTTCGCTTACCATGCGATGTCACAACTGGATCGTCGCGGACAATTTTTTACCGCACCTCTCATAGTTCTAGGGATCTGTAGGGATTTTTGAAAATTGTGGAACCTTAGACCACTATGATAGTGGTCTGAGGTGGGACAGATAAGTAACGAAGAACTCGTTAGAAAAAAAAAACTTGTTTATGTAATTTTCTTAAACTATAAAATGCAACTGACTGTGTTTTTAAAATAAATTTTATACATTTTACACGAGATTCGACCAAAACATTACAACGCAGTTCCTCCACTGTGGAGGAACTGTGATTACACACTACTTCCCATAAAACGCACAGTGCACGGCTTTATTTGTAATTTTATTTACTAATTAATTGCTGGTGTTTTTTGTAAAGTTTTGGTAACCGCAAGTCGGCTTTCACGATTACCAAAACTACCGGGACTTGCGCAACTTATCTACGTTTACTCACAGTCCCTCCGCGTTGTGGAGGGACTGTGGTTTACTGAGCTACAGCGTGTTTACCGCAGGGGGGGGGGGGGGTTGGCACGAGAGGGCGCCATCCGATCTGAATGGAACGTTTCGACGTCAGTCGCCCGTAGCTCATCGTCAAAGCAACAACGTCCCGTTTACGAACAGATGAAATAATTTCAGCAATTTCTTTACAGATTAATCCTCAACAAAACGTAGAAACATTTCATAGACAAATACAGGCTCTAAAATTATGTCTAACCTCGGGGGCGGACATTCGGGCATTTTCACCGCCTGGCAACCCGCGGCGGTGAAAACAAAGGCCCAAAACTCGCAGAAAACGGTACTTTGGGGTGATTGTTTGAACAGTGCAACAAGATTAGCCCTACGCGTGTAACATATATAAGTAATTCGGGATTACTTCAAAGTTGAGTTTGTGTTGTTTTCTAGAATTTTCACCGGCTCGACCAGTGTTCCACAGCAGCGCGCACAGAGCCCATAGAAATGCATGGTACAGTGGTGCGCGTCTTAGCAACGTGGAACGTCTGTGACATAGCTCCGTCCCCGAGGATTGCAAAACAATTCAACCGACAACCAGTTTGACACCACAATTCATTCTCCTTCCCAGAGTTCCTTGCGGTTAGATCACCGAAAGTATCATTTCTGCTACCAATCTCCTTCCCAGAGGCCTTTGCGCTTTACGCAATAGTGCCTCTGCCACAGGCAGCCTTCAATTTTGTGGTCAATCACCTAACTACGCACGGCCATTTTCTTGTACCTGTTAGATCTGAAAACGTACTACAAAAAGTGGGAAAAAACGTATGTGACATCCGAACTATTTATTAATGTCAGACTTCAGTAAAAACGCAAATACGAACCATTTTATCGCGGACTATGTTTTGCAAGGTAATGTTACTGTAGTGAAATGGCGCACGTGATACACTAAAACTTGGAAAATAAAACGCTCTGTTATCGTATATAGTTGGGAAAGAAACATTAAAGACTAATTTAACTGAAAAAAGTTTCCTAACATTCCCGTTCATCTTGTATTCTGGTGAATATATCAATACTATTTCTGGCTTGAACGGGTTCGATTTTGCGCGTCTAACAGCGATAGAACACACAGGTAAGTTTATAAAGTTAGTCATTTATAGTAGAAATTAGTGCTTTGGCACGTAGGAAAACATTGTAATTTTCTAACACAAGTCATGTATATTTTGTATAAATAACTGAACATTTTATTTAGAGTCGTGAAACCTCTTAATAAAGTGATTAAAGTAACCGAGTGACTTACGCATAACTTTGTTAACCGACAGGGTCTTGTAGTTCGAACATATTCGAATATGCAAATGAGTTCTATGCAAAGCTGCTTTGTGCAGTGATGATAAGTAACGCGCATCGAACTGTGCGGAGTTCGCTCTGCCACCACACACCGCCATTTTGTGGTGAAACACCACAAGACTTTTACTACGCCAATTATTTGCGTATTTTTGTTATGAGAGGGATCTTGTGTTGATTTATTCCTACTGATAAACTAGTTTTAAAAGATTTCATCGATAGCTGATAATGATTTTTTTGCATACGCACTGAAAACGGTGAATAGTTATAATTTACAAAACGAAATAATTCCATTGCGCAATAACCGTTACCAAGGTGTTACTCGGTTCATCAAACTGACCGTCCTGTCGATTGCCAGGCAAAGAATTACAAACTAACGAAAGCACTTCCTAGTATTGACGACTAAATCGTCCTACTGCAACACCGTTTGTGTTACAGAAAGAAAAAAAAAGCTTCTAACTTTGAAAACAGCCAAAATCTGCAAACAACGATACACATTCGTCGGGTTCGAAAATCGAACACTTGCATGGCAATGTTTTGTTGGGCGCCTTTGAAAGTAGTACCACTGTGACGCATCGACCAATCAACGACAAGCATAAGATCGCGTGGTGGCAGAGATATATTCGTGGAATAGAACTCTGCCTGGGAGATTTTATTTTGCCGAGATTTTTTCCCCTAACGCATGCGGAATACAGCTGCGCGGGAGAACTTCTTTTTGTGACGAATACCGTGATATCGACTAGTGACTGAATTCGTTGACGAGTATCAAAGACGGCCTGGACTTCTCTGCTACTCTAGATCTCGCGCGCTATAATAAATACGATGCATGCGTTCTCCCGCGCAGCTGTATTGCGCATGCGTTAGGGAATAAATCTCGGCGAAATAAAATTTCTCGGCACGACTAAAAAAAAACTTCTCGGCTTATGATCAGTGTGACTGCGCGTGCGCCGTCAAAAGCGTGCGTTAGGGGAAAAAATCTCGGCAAAATAAAATTTCTCGGCACGACTAAAAAAAAAGTTTTCTCGACAAATGGTATCTGCCGTTAGTTTTGCCTTATATGTGTCCTTTCAATTGAATAAAAATATTTATCGGGGGTCCCCTACGGCTTTCCATATCAGTGTGACTGCGCGTGCGCCGTCAAAAGCGTGCTAGCATATTTTTTTCGGCATGGCTGAAAAATAAAATCTCGGCAATTGGTCAGAATGAATACGTTTATATACGGTCAAGAAAACCAGCTCGGAATTTGTTTGAAAATAAACTCGGCTCGGCCGATACGGAATAGTAAAATCTCGGCATACAAAAATAAAATCTCGTCACAATCACATTAATGAAATAATATTCTCGGCGATGGATCTTTCACCGAAAAAGAAATTCCGGCTTTTATTTTCTGCTACCGGGAACAAATTAATTTTTATCAGATGTTGAAAAAAAACGAAGTTTTCTCGACAAATGGTGACTGCCGTTAGTTTTGCCTTATATGTGTCCTTTCAATTGAATAAAAATATTTATCGGGGGTCCCCTACTACGGCTTTCCATACTATTTAGTTTCCTTTTAAAATATTATGACCTTAAAAACATCATAATTCAAGCCAGCAAATGAGTCGTTAGTTTTTGTCAGGTATCCGTTTTTGCATTGGCTGTCATGAAGTATACATTCAAATATTTGTTCACGGAATCCCTCCAGAAAAGGTGGTGGTGGTTGAATTGGTGGGGTGTTAGGGTTGGTGGGGTAGGAGGGGGTGAATTGAATACTGGACTGAATTTGAATCTGACACAGGGAATTGAATCTGAGGCAGGAAATTGAATCTGAGGCTAACTTGACTCGCGTGACGTCACAGGTCGACAACATGGCGAATGAAGAGAAGCCGATGGAAATTTCTGTCAGCGATTCCGAACCTGTTTGGGTGTTTTATCGAGATCGTGGGGACTGGAAAGACGTTCAGCCATTACCGCAAGACGATGGCCCAGCTCCGATTGTACAGATAGCCTATTCTGCAAAATGTAAGAGTTGCAGTCAATTTATAGTTCTAAATTTACGTGATTGACATGATGAATGTATTACACATATGAATGAATGTATGCTATGTCAAATTTGTGACCGTACATACTGCTGTACAACTTTGATATGGTTTTATGTCAATGAATTATTAGTAATATTATATGGGAGCACATTATGATGATTTAAGTGTAATAATAACAACCTTTATTGATATCGTATCCCTTCTGGGATCTAGATTAGAATACAATAAGGATATAAGGAACAATAAAATACATAAGTAATAATAATAATAAAAAAGAAATAAATAGTAATACTGTGAAAATATTATTATATAAATATTTTTTTGGTGTTATTTTGAGGCAGCTGGTAAATTGCTTTTCATGAAATTCTCTCTTTTATTGAAACAGTCGCTGATAAACTTGGCAATTGCTTTCAGATTACCGAATAAGTTTACGTTTTCAAACAAAGCATCTCTTTCAAATTTGTACTGGTTACAATTGAAGAGGAAGTGTTCTTCATCTTCAATTTCATTGGAGTCACAGACAGGGCATGTTCTATTTAAGACATCTATGTTGTGATATCGCCCAACTTCAATCTGAAGTATGTGGGCACTTATCCTCAGTTTAGTCATAGATGATCTGTGGATGTGTATATACATGTACTGCAAAATAAGTATCTGGCTGCCAATTTGAAGTCCCTGTGGGAAGGAAGGGAGGGGAGCAAATATTTACATGATTTATCTGATGTCATTCAAACTTAATGAAAATCCAAATAAATTGACCAGTAATACCCCCCCCCCCCCGATTTTTCATTGCTACTACTAAAAATTGAGACGTCACCCAATTCAACGATCCATTTCTCACTTTGAAATGTACAAATGTATATAGATGTAATTCTGGATTTATTGGATAGCCATTTTGTACTGTTCAGGAAAGTATGTAGATAAGTCAAAATATTATTAATAAGATTACCCAATATTTTGATATTACGATATCTGAGAAATAAAATTAACTTTTTTTTCAGTTCGTGATGTTTATGATTATTTCCGAGCAGTATTAAAAAGCGATGAGCGTAGTGAGAGAGCATTTTCCTTAACAACTGATGCAGCTGAATTGAATCCTGCTAACTACACTGTTTGGTAAGTAAGCTACCATTATATCTACAGCCAAATTTAGTTTTAGGTTTTACTCAGTTCGAAAATGAAGAGGGGCATTCACAATTAAAATAGGGGAGAGCCACTGGAGGGCAAGGTTAGAATTAAAGTTAGAGGTGAGGGCATTCTTTTCAAAGGAAGTCTTACCGTATTAATGTTAAATTCTAATCAGTTTAAAAAAAAAGAGGAATATTAGTTTCATCAAAAAACAAATGCCCAGGTATCTACAAATCACTTTATTTTTTGTGTTGCAGGCATTTTCGAAGATTGTTGCTGAAATCTTTAAATAAAGACTTGAAGGAAGAGCTGAAATATATTGATGATGTTATTGAAGAACACCCTAAAAACTACCAAGTCTGGTGAGCAAACAATGTGCCAATATAATATTCAAAAGTAATATCGATGTCTTCTTTATTTCACAAATGTGCATCACATTTATTGGATACAAATGTACATTCCTTCAGTTTAAGCTTGATCAAGCTGGATTGAAAATATTGTAACAAAATGAACAGATCTCAAAGTAATTGGGCTACCCTTTTTCAACAAGTTGAAATTGGCGTATTTTACAAAAAAATACAAAATACATTCTCTAACATTTGAGAATTGAAGTTATTGTCATAAAATGCATAAACCTGATAGTAGATTTGCAAAGCATGACTGACATCAGTAATATGAATAGTGCTGTCAGAACTAATAACAAGATTTTCATGAGAATAGCGCACTCAAGTGGTACAATGTAGAAGATATAGACTTTACGATGACATGGTATTGTAAACTGCTTAATTTTTGCTACTGGAAAATTTTTCAATTTGATTATTTTAATGCATACATGAAGACAGTGATACTCCATGTTGTGGGAACAAAAATTTTTACTGACTGCAAAATTTGCCTCACAAAATTAATATTTATATTTTATTGTTTGTCATAAAGTAAATGTAAGTCATTCATCACGCCAATTTAATTGTGTTTAAGGCATCATCGTCGAGTGGTGGTGGAATGGGCAAATAATGCTGATGAAGAGTTGTTTTTTACAAAGAACATTCTAGACTTGGATTCAAAGAATTATCATGCGTGGTCTCATCGACAGTGGGTTCTCAGACAATTCAGTCTATGGAAAGACGAGTTAGAGTTTGTAAATATGCTGTTAGCAAAGGATTTGAGAAACAACTCTGTTTGGAATCAGAGATATTTTGTTATTAGTAATACAACCAAGTTTACAGATGAGGTACTTGATAAGGAAACAAAGTAAGTATTGAGTTGATACATGTTTGGCACTGAATTTAAAACAAGGTTGCTATGCTAATAGTTCACTGCCAAGTGTGCTAATTGTTTACTTGTGCCTGGTAAGTTTGTAAGGTCAAGTAACCTCTGATCTTGGAGCAATGAATTAGCATGAAATACATGATCACCGCTTTTCTTCATTCTGAAAAATGTCTCTGGTATGTCTTGTGTGCAAAACATCAAAATGTTCTGTGATGCATGCGTGATGTAAATGTTTATGTCTTTAAATTTAGGTTCAATTCACATATGCCGTAAATCATCTAATCACATGCACAATGATATATTTGTATTTGCTGTATCTCCACTCTCTACTGTTTCACTTTTTTGAACTGTGGAATGCATATGATAAATATACAATAATGTTATCTCTTAGGTTGGCGTAAGCACACTCGTGGTTACTGTTAAAGTAACAGTACAATCCTTGTCAGGGTTTAGAGTTAACACAGAAAATAAACACTGCAAAACTCAGTGTCTGCTGACGTCAATCTAAAAGAAAACATCATGGATTATATATAATTATACATGACATGTGGGAATGCATGTAGGAATTCAAGAATGGTTGCTACATGCAATATGTTTCTAGCTGCTTGTCTTGTATCACTTTCTGTGCGTAGAATGACTTATTTCACTATGGAAGTTGTATACCTCTGATTTGTACAGTTTGCATGTATGTGATTATTGATTACATCCTACATAGGGATAGAAAACACTGCATTTCTGTCATGGACTAGTGCAATAGTTGGCGATAAAAAAACAAAAATTGAAATACTAATCAAAGTGTTTTAATCCTGTAGATTTGCAATGGACATGATTCAGAAGGCACCAAACAATGAAAGTGCTTGGAATTACCTTAGAGGGTATGTATTTGTACTGAATATCTGATTGTCAACAAAAAACAAAAACAGCTGCTTATACATGTAGTACATTTTACAAACATTTAACCTAAAAAATGCATCACTATAATTTTTTTTCATTTAAAAGTGTCATATGATTATTGATTAGGATGCGTGTTGTAACTTTCGCAGTTTGGTTTAAAACCATGCATATTAATTAATTTGCATGATAATTTGCTATATTTTTTAGCTGTTCCATTACTATTCCACTACTATCTAAAGCTCCATTTACTGGATTTTGATGAAATTTAATACATGGATGCTCTGAACTAATGTGCAGACCTGATTAGTTTTGAGTAAACATCTGTACATATTAATCAGCTAATTTACATAATAATTCATAATTTTAATAAAACTTGGTATATAGATGTACAATCCATGCAAACTAATTTGCACAATTAGTCAATTTTCTGCTTTTCCATCGATATTTCAAGTACAATTTCAATGAAACTTGGTACATAGATGCTCTAGGACTATGTTTAGACCCGATTAGATTATTTTTGGTTTAAAATTGTGCATATTAATTATCAAATTTGCATAATTAAACACATTTTTGGCACTAGTAATAATCATCCCATTTCAATGAAACTTAGTACATAGATGGACTGTGGCATTGCACAGACTTATTAGTTTAAAAATAAAATGCAGATTACCTGATTTGCATAATGATTTCAGCTTTCAGCTTTTCCTTCAATATCTCAAGTACCGTACTTATCATCTTATTTCAATGAATCTTAGCACATAAATACTAGTGGATTGTTGCATTGTCTTACTGTAATTAGTCTCCGTTCAGACGAAGTCCGAAAACGGGGACTTATAATTCGGTCTCCATCCGTCCGTGCATCCGTCCTGAGTCATATCTCAGAATCCCTTGGACCGATTCCGTTCATTCTTTGCATGTGCATAGTACTTTGTGTGGGACATATGCACATGCAGTGGTTTAGCGATTCGATTCAAAATGGCCGACTAGCAGCCATCTTGTTTTTTGAAAATGTTGTATTTTGGACATGCTTTGTCAGTTTTCATTCAAACTTGGTACATATATTATACATGTTAGGATTTGTCACACGCAACGTAATATTACCGTAATTGGTATAGTACAGGTGTGATGGTTCAAATACCAAAATGGCAACAGTAACAGAAGACTTCCCTGGCGGCGATGATAAAATACGAACACGGAGCCAACAGATGAGGTTTCAACTGGTACTGGTATTATTATACTCTGCAAACATCAAGTACAATAACGCGGTAAAACACCACTACTCCAATGACTAGATACTTAAACTCCAATACAATTCAACGAGATCTCCAATCTGATCTCAGTGCTGAACAACTCCCCTATATATACCCACACTGTCTATAAATAGACCATTACATCAGCATACATAATGAGTCTGGAACTTACTACAAATTTCTAGAATGTTCCATTACCTTCTATTGCCTCCTACAGTGTTCTATTACCTATTCAACCAGTTTCTAAACAAAATCTAGAATATTCCACCCAGAAACAGTACGGTTCTAGAACATTCTCAGTGACACGGAAGTAAATAAGTCGTATGCAACAGGATTCACGTCCATGACGATTTATTTCACAATTGGATCAAAGATGGCCGACTGGCAGCCATCTTGTTTTTTGAAAATGTTGTATTTTGGACATGCTTTGTCAGTTTTCATTTAAACTTGG